ATTTATTTTTAAGGATTTTTATTTATTTATTTGTTAGAGAAAGAGAGAGAGTGCACAAGAGCAGGGGGAGGGGCAGAGGGAGAAGCAGGCTCCCTGCTGGGCAAGGAGCCCAATGCGGGACTCGATCCCAGGACCCTGAGATCATGACCTGAGCCGAAGGCATAACATTTAACTGACTGAGCCACCCAGGCATCCCAAAGATGAGATTTTATTTTATTTTAAAACATTTTATTTATTTATTTGTCAGAGAGAAAGAGTACAAGCAGGGGAACGGCAGTCAGAGGGAGAGGCAGGCTCCCTGCTGAGGAGGGAGCCTGATGCAGGACTCCCATCACAGGACCCTGGATTGTGACCTGAGCCGAAAGCAGACACTTAACTGACTGAGCCATCCAGGCGTCCCCCAAAGATTTTATTTTTAAGTAATCTCTACACCCAATGTGGAGCTCAAACCCACAACCCCAAGATCAAGAGTTGCACACTCCACTGACTTAGCCAACCAGGTGCCCCTTTTTTTCCATTTTAAACACTCTTTAGGGGCGCCTGGGTGGCTCAGTCAGTTGGGCGGCTGCCCTTGGCTCAGGTCATGATCCCAGGGTCCCGGAATCAAGTCCCGCGTCGGGCTCCCTGCTCCTCAGGGAACCTGTGTCTCCCTCTCCCTCTGCCTGCCTGCCACTCCCTCTGCTTGTGCTCTCTCTCTGTCAAATAAGTAAATAAAATCTTTAAAAAAAATAAACACTTTACATTTTCTGCTTCTGGCCTGCATCAAGCCTTGGAGAAAACAGTAGGGTCTGTTCTTTCCCCCACCTCTCTCCTGAAACAGATGCTTCATCACTTTTAGGAAAAGGAGATCATCAGATAGAAGAGTTAATGATTCTCCTTTGCAGGTTATTCAGGAGTCCCAAGTTTTCTGGGAGAAACTGCTCAAGAACTTTCCTCCTATGAGTGACAACTAGTTTTCTTCCTTCCTCATTTCCCAGGTATGCAAAGGCCCCCCCCAGCATGAGGAAATCTGCCTGGGCCTCTTCACCCTTGTCCTTACTGAACCTGCCCAAGCCCAGAAGGTAAGACTCCCTGCTCTGGACCCACAAACTCCCCTCAGATAGTCTGAGGATATGGTGGAACTTAAGGGTCAGCTGGCATAGTGCCAAACCCGTTGACCAGAACTGGATCACCTTGTTGTCCAGATACGCTTACAACTCCCTTTTTATTCTCAATGAATTGGTCATTCTCTGACTTAGATCCTTTCTCTATCTAGATTCTGAAGCTAAAGAGCAAGAAAAGCATTTGTGAGAGTGGAAAAGCATTTGAAGAGTTGTACATTGTAGATTGATGGGTCAAGGTTATGAGAGTTAGGATTTAATCCAGAGAAGAGAAGAGAACAAGTTATAACCAAGTCCATTGAGAGTTCTTACCCAGAAGAGCGTGACCTGTAGTTTGTAGGTTCTGTATCATTGGCAGGTGAATAGAAGGTAGGCTTAACATTGTAGCACGTAGGATTTAACAGTTTAATGTTGATGATTGATGCAGCAATAATGTAGTGACCAAGAGAACCCTGGAACCCACTGGAGCCAGACTTCTTCAGGAATACTGTGTAAAAACTAGTCTGGGGTCTTCACAGCCAGGAGAGTGTCCTTTATGTGGAATGGTTAAAGTGGGATCCTTGCCTGGGGTGAGGGATTGGGAAGGATGATCTCTTTGGATTCCATTCTTTACGTAATAAAGCAGTAAAATTCTGTCTTTTACCTCTCCAGATTTCCCTTTTCCAGCAGTTCTGTGTCCTTGCAGTCTTGGGGCAATGGTTTAGAAGTGTATGTCTGGTATCTGGCATTAACTATGTGACACTAACAGAGAGGAACTTGGAGTGGGGAAATTCAGTGTTCTTACTGGCCCTTCCTTGAACAAGGATGGCAGGAAGCACACATGCTTGGTGCCCAGCACTGTGTCGGGCTCTATCCAGACGAGATCTCATTTAATCCTCTCAAAAGGTTGGTGGCTTTGTCCCCTCTGTCCAAACTGCTCCCACTTTACCTATAAGATAACTGGAGGTCAGAGATACTATCATTTGTTCAGGGAGAACCAAAGAAAATCATCCCCAGGGACAAGGACAAGATGCCCATGCCCGCCTGGCATAGCTGTTTGAATTAACCTCAGGGGAAGGATCTATGGGCATGGCAACCTGATGTGTTTGTATTCCTCTGATGCCAACTGGAGCAGTGTCCAGGATGAGGGTAGGTGGTGGAACAGCAGGTATTCACAGGTCCTTGGTGTCCCAGGCCATTTCTGGGCTGGGACCTTGTTGTGTTAACTTGACATTTCATTTTCATACTGGATTTATCACCGAGATCCTTGAAGACAAATGAATGTCTCCAATTTGGTGCTGTTAAACAGTAATATGACCCAGTCTGGCCACTCCATTTAAGAGAAATTGTTGGCGAAGACAGGGGTGGACGGGTTGGGATGAAGGTTTCGTTTTCTCTTGTGTAGGTTTTTATAAATACAGTTAAAATCTCGTGTAGTCACTTCAGTGCAAATTTGTCCAGTCTGCTGGTTTTGTTTGTTTCAGGTGGGATCTGCGTCAGCTAGGGTAAATCAGTAAACTTCGTGAAGGGGCAGGGTATGTGTGGTATTTCTAGGTCTTTGTCTAGCCTGGCAGTGAAAGGCCATAGCACTCTGCATTATAAATGCTTATTAAGTCATGAATTTGGCCAACCAGACATGACAAGGTACTAGAGCACTTTGTCTTCTTGCCCTGGGACAGCCCCATGAGGGTGGCCCAGGCCCTTCCTTGCCTTGGACCTCATAGCTGGTTGACAGCTGCACCAGGATTGTGTTCACAGGCTAGCTGTTTCCAAGTAAATCCCCTCCCTGGAGTATATGAGGCTGACAGGCCCCTGTCAGGGCTCTTCAGACAAAGCAGTGGAGTTGGGGGTTCGGAAGACAACTGAGGTTTAAGCAACTGAGGAGCTGGCAGGTGGTAACTCATTGAGAGACTTTGAGCCAGGTCAGAGTATGGGAAGAATTAGTGACATGTCTCTGAGGTGCTTTGATCCTTTTCCCTAAAAGGGTGATTATCTTGTGAAATGCTTCTGTGCTGCAGAAGTTTCAGGTAGGAGTTACTGGTGAGGACTGATTCTGATGCATTGTTTTAGGCTTCAGCTTAAAACAAGGGGAGTGTTTTCTAAGGGTTTGTTTGGGGTTGACTCTGTCTCTGGACCAGAAACCTCAGGATGGAATGGAGGTCTGGTTCCTAGATCTTAGGCCGGGAGATGGGAGCAGGGGTGGTGGAGAGGGTGGTAGTGGAAACAGTCTTGAGCACATTACAAACCTGCTCTGGGGAAGCAGGAGCTAAAGAGCCTCAGTCTGGGCTGCAGGCAGGTTCAGACGTCAGGGCCAGCTCTCTGGGACTTCGTGGTGCAGCAAGGGCAGGCTGAACGAGAGCATTCAAGGAAGGATAAAGCAGGCTGGGTTTTGGTGGAGAGTGGAATATGTGTGGGGTGGGTTTTGTCCTAGTTGTACCTTCTTAACGTTCATCTGCCGTCTGGGCAGCTCTTATGTTTATAGTTTTTGAGTTTATTTCTTATTTGATGTCTGAGCTGAATAACTGGGAGCAGGCCAGTTTCGGGGCCTGTGGAGCTGTAGGAGGTAAGTAGGCAGGCTCTAGCAGTTAGTAGATAGAGGTGACAGGAAAAGGTCTAGCATCAGTGAGAAGGTTCCTTTTCAAGAGTCGAGGCCTCAGGTCTTGGCAGTCGTTGCTCACGAAGGTGGGTTGGAGGCTGTGTAGGCCCAGCAGTTGGGGCAGAAGCGCTACTGCCCTGCCGTTCTTTTGAGACTCTGTGCTTCTCTTCTGTGTTCCCCACTGAGTTTTTGTTTTTTGTTTTTCCCCATCTGCTTCTCTTTCAAGCCCATCAGAAAACTGGCACAGAGCTTGGTGAGGCAACTGGCAGCATCAGGATGGGGTGCCCTGGTGCTCAGCTGCACATGTTAGCAGCAGTGTGGTTGATAAGTCCCACATGGCGCGTGGAATTAGGCAGACGGTCTCTGCTTTCTTCATCTGTTCCCTGTGTCTCCTGGGAGACTTGTCCTCCTTCCCTGTCCTGGGTCTATTTCTGCATTTCTGCTTTTGGTTGAACAGACAGGGCTCCTCTCCGGTGAGTCTGGTCTCTGTCTTTGTCCTGACATAGATTTTCCTTCTGTCTCTGCCTCCCTCCTGCTCTCTGCCCATCCTGTAAGTCATACCTCCAGGGGAGGCTCCAGGGCTGACTCACCATTTACTGACCAGCTTGTTGGCAGTAGTTCACTGGTACCTTTATACATTCCTTATTCCCTTGCTTGTACTCTTTGATCTCAAATGGAGTCAGAGGATAATCAAATCCTCCTTTGGGTATGAAGAGTTTATGGCCTGTGAGGGATCTCTAAGTGTTGGTGTTTTTATCAGATCCATCATTTGACTTAGGGCAGTAGAGGCAAGAGGATGTAACAACAGTTAACCTCTCAGGAGTTCCTCCTTACACCGAGGCCAGAGAGGAGGAGCACTTCTCTTCCAAACACTTGGGATGAAAGCGCTCAGGAATATGGTCGTCTCAAAGCCACCTTCAATCCCCACCTCCCTCCCCAGCAGCCTCTTTTCCTTGTAGCTATTTCTAGTGCTGGTAAAGAGGTGTTAAGAGCATGGAATCTGGGGCGCCTGGGTGGCTCGGTCGTTAAGCGTCTGCCTTCGGCTCAGGTCATGATCCCGGGGTCCTGGGATCGAGCCCCGCATCGGGCTCCCTGCTCGGCGGGAAGCCTGCTTCTCCCTCTCCCACCCCCCCTGCTTGTGTTCCCTCTCTCGCTGTGGCTCTCTCTGTCAAATAAATAAAATCTTTAAAAAAACAAAAAGAGCATGGAATCTAGAACAGGACTGCCTGGACTTGGATTCTGGTTATTCCTCTGTCTCTTCAGTGACCTGGGGCGAGTTACTTTGCCCTGTTATACCTGTTTCTTCATCTGTAGGAATAAAGAATATAACTGCGGGTACCTACTTCAGAGGGTGGTTGTGGGATTCAGATGCCACCATATATATAATAGCAGGTGCACAACCCCAGGGCATGTTAGCTTAGCGTAAGTGTCGCCATGGTTGATGCCACCGGCTTTCCAAGGTGGTGGGCTGATACCCACATAATTTTTACCCTTTGTGCTGAGATCCTGACAGCATGGAGCTCAGCAGGCCAGTGAGGCCTCCTAAGGCATTCCTCCAGGAGTCTAGTCTCTAGAGAGCCAGGATGAGAACACTCTCCGGGGAAGGGGACAAGAGCACTCAGAGAAGATTGGCGTGCCTTCCCTCACCTCTCCCAGGGTTGGCTATGCTTAAGGACCCCTCCTTTTTCAGTGTTTGGCAGAAGCAAAGGGCAGCCTAGAGAAAAGAAGAACAATGTTTAGTTAAGGAAGTTCAGTTTTGTCCTGCCCCTTCTTTCTGGGGCCCTGGTCCTCAGTCCCCTTCCCTAATGTTCCTAGCCCTTTGCTTCATCTGGCTGAGTCAATACAGGTCTAAAAACCTCTTTGGGGTCCTTTCTAGTCTGTTCAGCCAGACCCATTCTGCAGTGACCTTTCGCTGGCAGATGAAAAGCAGATGGCCTCCACCTGGTTTTGCTCAGCTTGTGGCATGAAACAGTGGGGCAGTTTTTAAGAAGGGAGGTAGGGGGGGACGCCTGGGTGGCTCAGTCGGTTGAGCGGCTGCCTTCGGCCCAGGTCATGATCCCAGGGTCCTGGGATCGAGTCCCATATCGGGCTCCTTGCTCAGTAGGGAACCTGCTTCTCCCTCTCTCTCCCTCTGCTTGTGCTCTGTCAAATAAATAAAATCTTAAAAAAAAAAAAAAAAAAAGAAGGGAGGTAGGGGAACAAGGAGACTTTCTTAGCAGGCTTTTCTGCCTTCTTAGAGAGTAGCTCCATTCCTTCTCCCCACCCTGTGTGACAGGGCCAGGGTTGGGTTTGGGAAGGAGGAGCCCTGTGGAAGGTCTTTCATTGCCATTTGAATCCCATGGGTAGAATTTAAGGGGAAGGGGGGAGCCTGTCCTCAGTCTGCTGGTTGCTCACAAACCTTGCTTCTCACAGTGTTACCGGGACTTGGCTCTGGTGAGTCGTGACGGCATGAATATTGTCCTGAATAAGATCAACCAGATACTCATGGAGAAGTACCTGAAGTTGCAGGATACCTGCCGTACTCAGGTAAGGCCAGGAAAAGAGAGATCCAGCTCAGAGACATACTAGGCAATGGACTCTCTCTCCTAAAGGGAAGGGAAGGAGAAATCGGGGGTAACACACCTCTTCCTTTGTACACCTAAACTATAATGTGGTTGGATTCACGCCTTCCTCAAATTTAGAGGCCCTTCTCTTCATCCGCCTTTTCCTCTCTCTTTCAGTTGGTGTGGTTGGTACGGGAACTAGTGAAGAGTGGGGTTCTGGGAGCCGACGGTGTTTGCATGACATTCATGAAGCAGATTGCTGGTGAGTTTGAGGGCAGGAGCACAAGGAAGAAAGGAGAGGAGCCCAAAGGCTAGATGCAGGCAATGGAGAAGAATTAAGTGCCTGGGGGGGCGGGTCTCAGTTCCTGGGTTGCCTCGACTCTTTCCTTCTGAGACAGGCCTCTTCTGGCAGAAAGAAATGGAAAAGTCACATGGGGTCTTTTGAAGCAATACATCTGCCTTGTTGTCCTTCCTGCCAAACTCAGGGCCTGACGTAGAATAGTTGGCCTGTTTTAGCCAGTCCTCATTCTGGGGTTTCATGGCATGTTGGATCAGGAAGGATCTGGAAGGAATGGGAAGAGACGTTGAGGGCAGATAATTTGTTCCCATCACATTATGCTTTCAGAAACCCAGATATCTTCCTGGGCTCCACCCCTGTGTTCTGAACGCTTGCTTCCAAATATTTATGACATCTGATGGGAACCAGTTTGAGGGAGGAACTGTGTCACAGAAGAGACCCTGACATTTAGGTTTTGTTCTCTCCTTCGCATCAGTGACATCTTTCTGAGCCACTAAATATCCAAGAGGCCTGCCTGTGCTACCTCTTTTACTCAAGATCACGTGTGTTTGTTTAAAACTGACTCTGCTTCTCTATCTCACCATTCCCATTGGTTCTTTGCTTCCTCTTTAGGAATTTCTGTAACACTGGTGCTCCTGTTTTGATGTGCATGAACTTACTCTGTGTGATATCTGACTGTGTGAACACCGACTTTGTAAATGAGGACTAGAGCCAGCACAGTGTTGTGCTGGCTCTTTTGCCTCCTGGCATTTCCTTCCCAGTTCGGTCCTCAGTCTCCTCTTCTCATCCTCAGACTTCGGTCTGGCGTTGCCACATGTTACTTTTGCCCCAGGAAGTTCCGTAGCAAGCACGGAAGACCATGATACCTGGAAGCAAGAAGCCGTGGGCCTGTCATGAGCCTGACTTGGGATTTGGGAGTCCCCAGTGGAGTGCCACTGACTGGTCACCTGCACCTCAGGCCCTATTTGAGATGTCACCCTTTCTTCCAACCAGGGGTTCTTCATGTCTCTCTCAGACATTCCCTTTCAAGGGTCCGAGTATTCCTACTGCAACCCCCAGTCTATGGAAGAGTAGCAGCTCTGGTTTCTGGAAATATCTAGAACTTACCTTCCTTTCTTTGAGGACACAAAGGGGAAACTTTAAAGCCTGACTAAACAGAAGGCAGTTTTTCCAACACTCAGAACGTCCATGACAGGAGAACAGGGATGGAGAAACAGGATGGGTGAAGAAATGTTTTGGATTAGCTGAGTCGATGATCAGAGCCATTCTCATTCTGTTTTCTCCCCCCTTTGAAATTAGGTGGAGATGTTACTGCAAAAAATATCTGGTTGGCAGAGAGTGTCCTGGATATCTTGACGGAGCAGAGGTAGAGTCTGCCGTGACAGGAGCAGGTGTGGGTGTTGGGGTGTGAGCACTGATAGGTGGCCCGAGAACACCTGGGCTTAGACCGGGTGAGGTGGGGGAGGGAGAGGCAAGTGAAGGAATTCAAGCCACTGTCCGGCCCAAAGGGATGAAGGGGTGGGAAAGAAGGTCTTTGCTAAAATATTTCAGAGCCCAGGAAAAACTGGCTTCATCTGATAAGGGTTTATTTTTGATCCAGACCTCCTTGGAATGTTTATCTTTGGGGGGAGATGGGGGAGAATGAGCTCAGCAGAGTGGGGCCAGCCAACTGCCCCGCCCCTGCCTGGCAGGTACCCCTTTTCTCCCTTCCAAGGCTGTCCACCCAAACCGCCCTCTCCTGAAGTGGCAGGGGGTGCGGTGGGAGGCGGAGGTTTGCACACAGGGTTGGGGGGCTGCAGTGGTAGAAGGCATAAGGGGGCGCATTGGGCTTCTGGCTAATTCCTTCCCTTTCCCATCGAAGTGAAGGACCAGAAATTTTATGAGGGTTGTACTGTATGTGCCCTTGTTTGGGGTGAGGCCTTCTCTTGGTCCAGTGGCCTTGCTCTTCTGTTGCTTGACTTTGGAGTCTGTTTCTGTGCGAGGCCAACACAGTAGTCAGATGATTGGAAGGGCTAATAGTGCCCATATTTCCTGTGGTTCAGAAGGACAGACCTCCTCCCATCCTCACACTTGTTCTGGGCCCTGCCCAAGCTGACGGCTGGGTCAGGTGCCTTGCAGCGCCACCTAGTGCGCTGGGCACGGCTTGCGGCTGGGGCTGGCGCACTTCTTCCTGGTGCCACCCACCGCCACCGGCACAGCCCGGAGATCCCAGCAGCCTTTCTGGTGTCCTGGGTGGATGGTTTCACTTTCTCTTTCTCTTCATTATCCCATCCCAGGATTCAGATAATTCATCACCTCTGCTCACAATCTTCCTGAAAACTGATTTTTCTCATTTTGTTTCTGGTGCCAAATACCCCCTGTTCCTGTGCTGTAAAGCTGAATTTTCCTCATTTGGGCATTTAGAGCAGTCCCCACATACATGTGTCAGATAACTGCCCTACCTTTTCTCCTACCCTCCAAAACCTCACATCCTTTGGTGCAAGTTAGTCCCTAGATGATTAAGACTGTCTTCTACAGCTTCTCCCTGCCTCCCTCCCTCCCAAGAGTTTCTGAGGCCTCAGAATTAACAGGGAGCAGATGGGGGAGGGCCTCCCCATTGTCCTTGGCTACTGTGTTCATTCTGTGAAAGGAAAAGACCAGAGTCTTTTAATTAGGTGGCTTGAGCACTTTTCCGGAATCAGGATGTTGCCTGGTTGGATTAATTAAACTCCTCGGCTTATTCCTGTGGTTCCTTGCTTTCCAGCAGGTGTGCCAAAGCCCTTACAACTACTTGCTTGGGGGACATAGCTCCCCGTTTTGGCACGTTGAAGCAACATTGGAGAGTTTTTGTCATCTCTTCATGGTCTTTTTAGCATTATTTTTATTTTTTTAAAAGATTTTATTTATTTGAGATAGCGGGCACAAGAGCAGAGGGAGAAGCAGACTCCCTGCTTAGCAGGGAGCCCGACGCGGGGCTCGATCCCAGGACCCTGGGATCATGACCTGAGCTGAAGGCAGACTCTTTTTTTTTAAAGATTTTATTTATTTATTTAACAGAGAGAGATAC